AAGATTAGGTAGCCACATCTGTTGGAAGGACCATGTCAAATAGTCCAGGCTTTCGACATTGAGTTTGACTAGCTCTGCTCCGTGCTCTTCAAACACCTTTGCACCATAAGCAAGTTCAATGATGACCGCCCCGATTGACCTTTGAAGAACAAAAGTGAGTCTTCCTAAAGCCCTCAGACCAGGCAGATGGCTCACTGAAGAATTATTTCGGTTGGATCACCCGAGAAACCTTTTAATTTATCGACAAAACTCTCCGCTTCTCGTTCGATTAGTTGGTCATAGTCGCTTATGGCCTGAGGTCCTAGAACCTTTTTGAATATCTTGCGCCTCTCCATCCAGTCATGTCCAGGTTGACTTTGGAGCAGAGACCATCCAAGTCCCATTCTTCAAATGAATACATAAAGATCAGTATAGAGTTTTGAGATTGCGATACGGAGGGGAAAGGTGGCTATCTAATCTTATTCCTATCAGTACGTCATCTGAGATGTTAAATTAACTACTATCCACTAACCTTGTTAAATAGCCCGTTTCCTACCGGCTTGGGTTCCCGGCATCCAATTCCCTAAATACGTCGCACATGGGCGAGACCTTTTCAGAAGATTCCGCTACTATGGCTTCAATATCGTTCAGAAGAACATTGTAAGCTTTTCGTGTCATCATTTACCAAAATTTGAATTCCCTAACCGCCTTACTAGGGAGAAGGGACTGCGGACTTTTCCGTGTTGTCCCATTATATGAACGCACCCGATGTTTCTCCTACCTATCTCAGAGATGCAGTGTCAGCCATGTATGCCGGTATGTTAGTCCTCGATCTTGTTCTCAAACCTAACACCATAATCTCTTTAGGTGGGGTCGATACAGTACGTGTTTTGACTATGAACGATTACCCACTTTGTTCTGAAGCAATATATTTAAGACGGGGTCCACAATGCTGAACTTTATTATGCACATGCTTCGCAGAGGTCAAGTCACTGAGGTATTTTATTGCTGCATGGAAAGAGTCTTTGAGGTTCAATCCAGCTGTACCAACGAGTAATATTTCGATTCTTATTTGCGGTGCAATAGCTGATACGGAGTACAGGCGTAATGCATACCAATACTGCTGAGGACATTTGGAACGGCTATCATATTCCCAAAGGAACCATCATCATTCCCAATGTTGCGTAAGTTGTATTCACAGATGTCATCTGTACCGTGTCTGATTTTTACCTGAAGATTCATGATGCGAGACCCTCGTATCTGGGGTGATGATGCCAATGATTTCAAACCGGAACGCTTCCTTGTAGAGTACAATCCTCGAGCGAGCGCGCTGCCAGATGTAGAATCGGTGCCATTTGGGTTCGGGAGAAGGTATGCCAGTCCTCCCAGCTACCAAAGTACTTTCTAACAATCGTCTCGATCTAGAATCTGTCCAGGGCGCTACATGGCAGAGAGAAATGGCACAACATTCCTTGCTAGATTATTCCAAGCCTATGAAATACGACCAGAGGAAGGGTTTTCTACGCCAGTGAAGGTTGAATTCCATGACGAACTGCTTCGGTAAGTGATATAAAACGATCTCTGTGGGACGGTGTCTTACCGTTTCTTCAGCCGACCTAAGGACTTGAGGTGCCGATTTGTTTCTCGTTGAGAGTCTATAGCATATGATCAAGGAGGCAATTATGTATTTGAATCGTAACCTGTCAAATATTTAA